AAATAAGTAAACCAACCTCACTTACCTGCATAACAGCCTAAGGACCATGACCCTGGGAATAGGATGTGAGATGTGAGCACATATGAGACCACCGCAGACCTCTTTTATTTTCCCCTGGGCAGATCCCTTCCTTATCTCAACCTCTCAACTATGAGGGAACTGGCTCAAAGGTAAATAGGGACGTTTCCTTCCTGTGCACTTCATGCCCAACTGTTCTCCAAGTGGTCTATCCTTGGAAGGGGACAAGTTCTCCTAACTGTCCCCAGACACTCCCACAATCAGCTCCACGGTGCTTGCGCACATATCCATTAGCCTGTCTGTATTCCAACTCTCTTCCAAGGAGCTCAGAGTCCTTCCCATCTATCAGGGCCCCTAGGGACTACCTGCTGAGAGCACAGAAGGACATGGCACTGCCTAATCCACAGCCTGGATCTCCAATAAGGATTATGGCTTTATTTCTTAGTACCCACAGTGGGGTATGAGTTATTGGAAAATCCTCAAGAATCATTTAAGAAACTGAACTAAGACCTCACAACCACTCATAATGATCTCTTTAGGGCACTCACTTTATTCTGGCCCATATGACACTGGTATGGTGGCTAGAATCTTAGTATGGCCTGAAAACTGTTATTTTAGTAGCTTCTCTTTCTTTTGTAAGCCACAGGCAGAAGTAAGAAACATACCAAGGTTGCACATACAGCCCCAACATACCTATTCCAACAGCCTTGAGAGGGCTGTAAAAATTTTATTTTAAAAAAACAAGTCTCGAACCTAATCAGGAATCCAAGCCAAAAAGGAAAGAAAGGATCATTCTATTTTATCTTAAGTTTCCAAAATCGTGAACATGGGTGAGAGTGAATTTTTTAGTAAACGTGAGAACAACTTCGGCCTGGGATACTGCAGCCAAATAAGTCTCAATGGCCACACAAGCGAGTTAACAAGATGAGGCCAGACCTCCACGGGGGAGGCAGGAGAGAGGAAAACCACAGAGAAAGGGACTTACGGGAGCCCATCAGAGGAACCTTCTAAATGCACTAATGGCAACCTAAAGGGAAAAATAAGAAATGCGTTGTATCACTAAGAAATAAACTAAAAAAAAAACAAAAGAGCTACTTTGCTTTTCTCAAACCAAGGTAGCACCCAGTGCGCAGCTGGCTGCCCAATAGGACCCAAAAGTGGGTGTTTCTCAAAGAATAATTATGTTTTGTAATGATGAACATGCTAATTATCCTGATTTGATCATCACACATTGTACACAGGTATAGAATATTTAACTCTGTACCCTACAAATATGTATAATCAATTATGTTTCAATAAAAAACCAAAAGAAAACAAAAAACAAAACTGGATGTTTCTATCTCTGCCATTAAGACAACATTAAGACTCTACTTTATATATGGAGTAAGCCAATGTTATTTTTAATTTTTCTTTCAGAAAGCATACTTGGAATAGTCAACTGAATGGTTATTTCTTAAATACTCTACAACAATGACATGTGCTGATGGTAAAGAATTTATCATTAAAACTGCACTAAGAGCATTACATTTCTCAGCAACACGATGAATACAGTATCTGTATTGGCTTCCAGTAACAAAAATCCTAAAATTCATCTCCCCCACCTGACCTGAAACAGAAAATTCAGTACGGCTTCAGATGGTCATTTCAGATGGACACACACTTTTTCTCCATTTAAAGTCAGAATTTCAAAGTGTAAGCAAAGAGTACATGCAAGTAAGTATGTTGTTTCAAAAGGTCTCGAGCTTCTCAGTAGATAACAGACAACTTCAGCTGTTCAAATAGGGTTAGGATACGGCACTGCAAAGGAGCCCAACTATTCTGAGGAATGAATTAAAACTGAAGGAAAAAAGGAGAGAAAATGAGTGATAGAATGGCTTACTGAAAAACAGTTGAGGCTTTGACAGTGATTTTTCTGACACTGTGAGGTTACCTGACAGACACTTATGTCTCATCTGTTTGTGCCCATGGTGGAGTGGCAGGGAGCTAAATGTTTGTGCTACTTAATCAAATAAAATAACTTTTATGTCTTTGAAAGAGCAGCAGTAGAGAAGATTGAGTGTGAATTGGAAATTTCACTCTGCCACCTGTCATTTGGAAAGTCAGTCTAAGCTTGTGGTGCCTCAGGCACACAACATCTCCTCCAAACTGACAGATTTTGTAAGCAATAACAAACAAGTATCTGTAAGACACACACATTCAGTAAAAGTTTTACAGAAACAAAAATTAAGATAAATCGGAGGAAACCAAACAATCCATCACTTAATAAAATACAAGCTAGTAAGATTTTGGATAGGCTAAGTTTTGGTGTTTTAAATAAGCAGATATGATAAAAGGTTAAAATACAATTTAGATAATTTGTTTGATTTTCTCCTGAATTTTCAACACAACCAGGGAAATGGAAAACAAAAACTTTGTGAGCCTGGACATGTTTTCAGGCGTTTCTGTGACACAGACACGTAACTTACGGATGACAGTGCATGCTTCAGACCAATGACCTGAGCAGAAGGGGGTGAGGAGGCATCCTGCTCCATCAGCTGCCTCAGTTTCTCTCTCTCCATTGACATGGTATTAAAAGCTGACCTTAAAGTGAAGTAAACTATAAAGATATAATCATTATAAAAAGGAATAAAGGAAGAGGCATAAGTAAAAACAAAATACAGAAACATGTATTTCTTATAAAAGGATTTAGCAAAGTAACAGCCCTGAATAATTTTTTATTTTATTTATTTTTTTTGCAGCTGATCAGTAAGGGGATCCGAACCCTTGACCTTGGTGTTACAATACTGTGCTCTAACCAACTGAACTAACAGGCCAGCCCAACCAGTTCCAAACATTTTGAGTGCAGCAAATGTATACTTTACACTGACTTTTAAAAAGCACATTTGCAATGTACAACCCCAGGAGCAAATCTTAGTGTAAACTAGGGACTCTAGGTGATGATGACGTGACAATATAGGTTCATTGATCGAATCAAAAGTACCACTCTGGTGGGGGATGCTGACAGTGGGAGATGCTGTGCTTACATGGGGGAAGGGGTTTATGGGAACTCTGTTCTTTCTACTCAATTTTGCTGTAGACCTAAAATTGCTTGAAAAAATAAAGTCTATTAAAACTAACACATATACACACACATTTGCCAATTCCAAGGCCCCTATTCACCAAAACATTCCACTATTTTATGACTTATCAAAATATATTGATACTTGGACTACACTTCTGGGTTCTCAATGATCAGCATTTAGTTTTATTTGTATCCCCAAAGCCTGGAAATGCTTAAAAACAAAGCTTATTGGTGGTTATCAAGGGAAAAATGGTAACAATGCAGCAGAAAAACTAGACAGCACCTTAACCAGGTGATCAAAATTAATTACAAGTGAGAGTCAGGTGACCTTTGTGTGCTTCTGGGTACAATATCCTGGAAAAAGACATATCTTCTTAGTTGCACACACTTGGGCATATACAATCTGAATATGATCATGAGCAGGCATCAGACAACCCAAAATGAGGAACATCCTATTTTTAAAAATTGGTCTATACTCTTAAAAAGTGTCCATTTTATAAAGGAGAAAGAAAGGCTGAGGAATCTCCCAATTAAGGGAATCTAAAGAGGCACGACAATGAAATGCAATATATGATTATGGACCAGATCCTGTGCTCAAGGGAGAAAATGGCTTTATAGGACACCATTGGGATAATTGACAACATTTGAATATGAAGGCAGAATAGATAAAAGCATTGTTTCAATTTGATATGGTTATTTAACAGAATATCCCTATTTTTAGGAAATATGCACTTAATTATAAAGCCGTAAAGAATGACATGATGTATGGATCTCACTCTCAAATGATTCAGAAAAATAAAGGTGTTTGTACACAGAAAGAGAGAAAGTATAAAACAAATGTGCAGAATATTAAAAGTGGTGGATCTGGGTAAGACTATATTGGAGTTCTTTGTATTATTCTCTCAACTTTTCTGTAAGTTTGAATTTATCTGAAAATAAGGTGCTGCCTACCCTATTAGTTCTTCCCGCTACAGGACCCAGAATCCCCCACCTTGAATCTTGGCATTCAGCTACTCTGTTCACTTTAGTGAGCATTCAGGTACCATGAGAGCTTAGGATTACTAGGCACTCAAATGCCTAAACATACATGGCAAAAAATTTATCAGGTTTTGATCACATAATATACAAGTTATGAGGAAACTATCATCTAAATTATTGATCATGGATATCATACTTGATATCATCTTTCCAATCTCCTTTATTATGTTTTGTTTTAGAAGGGCAGGAAGAAGAGTAAAGACCGAGACATACTTCTTCTCAAGTGACCTGGCATATAATTGAATTCCACAGGGTTGCATTTTTAGAGGTATTGTTATCCAAGAGTGGCCTATTGAGTAACACAGAAACTAAATACACATTATTCACTTCCTTCATTTAACAGCAAGGAGGACAATGAACCTCTTGAAATGTTGTCACATCAGTGTGGCATTTAGTGATGATCTTAGAGCATCTTCACAAAGTCATAGCTCAAATAAGCAATCTGTTTACATGCACACACACACACATATTATAGTGCTGCTTCTGTCAACAGAAGACAGGGGTCAATAGGTGCTAAAATTTCCTAACAGTACCCATTAAACACACTCAGCCCTTTAAACAATTCAGTGAAGCAAAGTCATGGGCAGCACAATGATGACCAATAGTTTGGGCTCCACTATCAGCCCTGGATTCTTCCCAGCTGCATCTCTTATTCACACCATGACCTCGAACAACTGTATGATGTGCCTGAACCCCAACTTCCTCATTTGTAAGGGAGGATAACAATAGCACTTTCTTTGTAAGACCATTACGAGGATTAAATAAGATAATGCAGGCAAAGCACTTAACCCCAGTGTGGTGTGTGATAAATAACTTCACTGCAAATACCAGCAGTGATGAGGATAAAAATATGATGGTGACTGCAGTCTCTTGAAATATGGGCAACAGCGCTAGGAGGACACTTTAGTCTCTTGCCAGGACAATGCTTGTAAATATCTATACACGGGGTAGAGATTCTATGAATGGAAGATTGGCCAGGGTCTACTGAGCCCTAGAAGAGCAGGAGGAGAGCAACGCGGTTAACTCACTGCACTTGACGTCCTATAAAGGCACCAACATCCTGCCACATGCACACACACACACACAGGATGCCCACCATAGGAGTTGGTCCCTGGGGGAACCACCTCCTCTCGACAATGTTTATTGCTCCAAATAAAATAAATGTGACACTCAGCTGATTGCCACTTTCCCAAATCAATACCTCTAGCTTTCAGGTGACCTGTAGTAAAGCAAGGTTTTCAACCAAACTAGAAGAATCTGACTTAAATTTTAAAAATGGGCAGAATAGACACTATTTGGTTCAAAATATATCACAAACAAGACTGTGGTGGGCACAAAATAAGCAGAAAGAAACTCATATAGTCATTATATTTCATTGTAAGGTGTAAAACTCTTCCTAAATCATCTGACAAAAGGGTTCAGATGATCAGATCCCCATGCACTAAATTCCTTAAATAACTATTAAGGCTCACCCAGAGGCATTAAGATGGTCATTCACAGCCACACATGGAGCAATGGTTAGAGACCGCTCATGAGAGACCATATTTATATTAATTTTGAAAGACACAAGATCCCAAAGGTCAGGAATATTCTCCGTGACAGGAGTGTTTTCTTACTTCTA